TTTTTGGCTGCTTTCTGAGAGAAAGCACCCAACCTGTAAGAGTTCAGCGCCCATAGGTCCTGACTCGGCCTCGTGCTCTCGGGACCTGCTCTGACCAGCGCCCAGGGAAGCCGCGCTGGGGCCTGTGGACCCGGGCCGTCCGCTGCCCTTCTCTGCACCTGGTCTAGCAAGGGAGCTTCCTTCCGGCCACGGACAGCACGAGGCCTGCTTGCCGCGCGCTGATTCAGAACGAAACGATTTAGTTTTGAAGATGCCGCCCACACATGTGGTTGGAGGATGGTCGAAAAGTGTGTCCAGGGTCATGGCAGTTTTCCGGTGTTGTAGCTTAGCTGGTGGGGACATGGGAGTTTGACGTATAAATTCCATAAGGACCATGTGTTGAAGACACTTGAGCGAGAAACCCCACATATCCCCCCAAGATCTGCAGAAATGAAGTGAGGCAGTTGGAGCCCCTCCGTTGCTAGCCAGGAGCGAAGACCAGTCGCTAAGTGAGGCCAGCCGTTTCTAGAAAAATAAGACACCCAGCGCATGGCGGCCAGTTTCTCACACAGGCCTCTTTCCTGGGCACATGCAAGTGGCTTCCAGCATGTTCCGCATTGTGCAGCTTGACTGCATTGTGCAGATAAGTAGGCTGGTAAGAAAGATTTCCTTTCTTTGGATCTCTTCAGAGCGCCCAGGGAAGGGGCGCACACCCATCGATGGTCAGTAGGCTTAATTACTCAGCCATCGGGGGTGCACACTCTGTCCACATCTTTGTGGACAGTCTTGGCGGGTTTTCTCTGCGTGGTCCTCACTGTCGATTTAAAACGATGCAAGTTGCCCCCGTTCACACCCCATGGTGTGCAGCACAGAGCTGACCCCCTTTGTAATCACAGACGCCAACTTCCTGATCCTGAGCCGTCCAGGGAACTGCTGTCTCACACTCCAGGCCATGCATCTGCAAAGCCAAGTGCCGCTGCACCGCCCTGCGCGCAGCTGAAGACGCTGTGGGGAAGGCACTCTGGGAGCTTCGGGTCGCAGGTGCTGGAGACTCGGGGTTTCGCTGCAGGGCCTCGCGGAGCCCTGGGACGTGGGGAGCACGGTTGGGCCGCTGCCGATGGGGCCGGTGGGGGAGGGAAGGCCGTGGGCTGCTGCGGGAGAAGCGGGGGCCACTCCCTAAGCCAGCGCCCGGGGGGTGACACCACGGGGAGACACCCCTGCTGCAGGCGGCGGCATCCTCAAGGCCCCAACACAACCTGGTTCCTCTTCTCAGGCACATGGCGGCCGTGCCTGCTGCGTCCGGGTCATTGCCAGAGAAACCAGGAACAGACTTTCCTGTCATTGCTCTGCAGGTAAGTGGAAGACTTCCAGAGATGACCGTGGACACTGGCGCCGAATCTCACACCCAGAGTCCAAAGGGGTGTGTGTTAGCGTGGCCCTAGCCACTGTTTACTAGCCACATCTTTACTACCAGATGTACCAGGCAGAATTCCCAAAAGAATTTTAACAGTAGAATAAATACAGTAATGACTTAGTAACAAAACCCCCGAAGAATGAATGGTTCTGCGTAAATGAATGTCCCATACAACTGAAAATTAACTTCTTTCTTTCTCTGAACGGGGAGTGCATGAACGTTATAACATGCACTTCTTGCCCTGAGCCGCCCTACTAAAAAAGTAGATTTTGAAATGCTTCTGAGAAACTCTGTGCTTCAAATGTGGAGGCGTTTGGCCACAGAAGCTAATTTTCTGATAAAACCACTGATTGAAGCTTTTGGTGCTTTTACTCTCATGCTTTTTCTAAAGAAGGAGCAAAAGATGGAGAGAAGCCGATTGCAAGGGCAGGCAGGCTGCTCCTGGTCACCTGTGAAGACAAGTAGTATCCTACTTGCAGTAGATTGAACGATGACATAAGTGTATATACTTTCCTACTTTCAACCGACTAATTTGCAAACAGTCAACTTATAAGACTGGCAAGAAAATAAGGAAAGCCCTCAGGAGCCAAATGTGGGATGAATCAGTCCTCTGAAAGGCAAACTAGTCCGATTTAGCCGCCGCCCTGAGACATCCGTGTGTCTTGAATGGTTTTGAACTTCCACTTTGATGGCCATGTAAAGTGAGGGGCCAGGAGTGAGAGCCGGGAAAGGTTACATCCCAGGAAGAGGGAGAACCAGATGAAAAAGCTGTCCCACAAGGCAATTTGCAGACTTGACCTTGATGTTAGGGAAGCAAGACACCCTTGGAATTTTAAACCAGAGGCTAATACTCATGCAAGTTTGTGGCTTGAATTCTTATACAAGTGTGTTTTAAAAATTGCAAGCTTGGAACTGAAAGCGGCCATGGGTTGTTAGCACCTCCAGGAACCTGGTAGAAACAAAGGAAAATACTCTTAAGGAATGCACTTCAGCTCGTGCTTCACAGGAAAACTCCATCCATCACGAGCTCATGATAGAAAGGAAGCGCGTCATAAATGAGGCATCGTCCGCACGGAGCAGCAGAAGTAGAGAAGCAGAGTAGATATTGAATTATCGGACGGAACATGCAGGTTTGACGTGTTTAAGTAAATAAAAGACGATTTGCAGATGTGAAAGACAAGTCACTACAACAATGATGTTTAACATAACTAAACAGAGGCTACGAATTCTGGCCAAAACAGAGTAACAAGAAGGAGGTTGAGACGGAAACAATAAAGCCTGAGAGCGTACATGGGATGGTGCCGTGGGACACTGGGTATTGGGGAGGGAAGACAGTGGTCCGCAGGGGACAAGGAGCAAATCAGCAGAGCCTCGCACTCCGCCAGCTCACCGCCCGGGGACGGCTCCCAAGCCAAGATGCGGGGAGGGAAGCTCTGCCAGGAGGCGGAGCCGGCCGTCCACGCAGGTCGAGGCATAGGGTCCGCAGGAGGTCTCCGGTTGCACTGGTGCCCAGCAGGGTGCTGATCAGCTCGTGGGCGTGAGGACCCTGTGTGAGGCCAGAGGAAGACCTTCCGGGGGATCAGACGTCAAGTGTGGGGCACACTGCAGGGCCAAGGGCACTGCCTGTTCCCGCCAGGCAGAGAGGGAACTCCTGGCTACGTGGCATCAGGCTGGGCACGTGGAGGGGTGTTTCGTTGGCAGCCGGGAATAACAGACTCTCAGAGCACGGCACGTGTCCTGCCTGACTCTTCCTAAACACAAAACCCAAAGGATCGGTCTGCTTCAAAGAAACTTAACTTTGTCCTTGATCACAGCTCAAAAATATTTATAGGAATACAAAAATATTTGGCACTCAACAAACTGAAATTCTCAATTATTGGTATCCTATTATGGATTGAATTGTGTCTCTAAAAATTAATACGTTGAACTCCTGTGGTTTCACTTTGTTGTCAATATGGTGACTTTGCTGCATTTCTAAAGTGAAACCAATCTTGTGATACTGACGTGAACTTGGTCATGACATTTTATGTCTTTTATATGTTGTTGGGGTTAATTTGCTAAATTTTGTTTAGAATTTTTACATCCGGGTTAATGAGAGACCCTTTTCTGTAGTTTCCTTGTAAGACTCTGTGTGGTTTTGGGATCAAGGTAATGACAAGCCTATGAGATGAGCTGGGAGAAAATTTTCTCCTATTCAATTTTCTGAAAGAATTTGTGTAGAAATAATGTAGTTTCTTCTTTAAAGGTTTGTTAGAATTCGCCAATGAAACCACTCTGGAAGACAGTGTGGAAGTTTATTAAAAAGTTAAAACATAACCCCCAACTGGTCCAATCATTTCACTTTTGGGTATTTATCCAAGAGAAAAGAGAGCAAAAATCCATACAAAAACTTGTGTGTAAATATTCTGAACAACTTTATTTGTATAGCCTGGACCAGAAACAAACCAAACGCCCATCCATAAGTGAAGGCACACACAAGTCGCAGATATGTTCATCGTCTTGATTGTGATCGATTTCATGGTCTCATACTTCCATCAGACTGTGCAAGTTGTGCACTTAAACATGTATAGTTTATCATAGGTCAGTTATATTTCAATAAAGCTGTTATAAGATAAAACATAGCATGAAGCTTATTTTTATGGACAAAAACTGAAAGCAACAAATATACTAGAAACAAAATAGTCATATATACTTCGATTGATGGAGAAATGTACTGGTAGATAGAAGACCTTGATAAGTGAACTAAGTAGCCGAGAAGACACAGATAAAGAAATAGTGGAGTAGACAAATCTGAAAAAATTACCTGGAATTCAGCAGAGTCAAAAAAACAAAAAGATGTGAAATAGACTTTGGCAGATGTTGAGTCTGGAGTCAGAGGGGCTAATATGTTACCAGTTGGAGTTCCCAAAGTGGATTATTGACAGGATGAGGGCGAGTCCGTATGCAGGGAGGTAAGAGTGGAGAATGATCTAAAATCGATGAAGAACATGAATCCTTAGCACAGGAAGCACAGATTCAAAGCAAAGCATATAAAAAGAAACCTGCATGTAAATGTGATCTGCTGACATTTAAAGACAATTAGATCTTAAAAGACAAATACTTTTAAGATCTGTGACCTATTATAATTGACCTGTTATAAACCAAAGCACGAGGCTGACACCAGACTTCTCCGTGGTAAATATGGAAGCCAGGAGACAATGGAACTACATTTTCAAAGTGTTGAGATGAAATAGTTGTCGACTTTTCTTCTATCCCCAGATCAACAATTTTCAATCAGTTTTCTCTTTTTTAAAATGTTTATTTGCTTTTGAGAGAGAGAGAAAGAGCAAGAGCAGGGGAGGAGCCGAGAGAGAGGGAGACAGAGGATCCGAGGTGGGCTCTGTGCTGACAGCAGAGAGCCCTACACGGGGCTCGAACCCATGAACCATGAGATCATGACCCGAGGCAGTCAGATGCTTCATCGACTGAGCCCCCGGGTGCCTCTCAGGAAGTTTTCAAGTTCCATCTTAAGGGTAAAAACATTTTTCAGACAAATGTGAGTAATGAGATCAAAGCCAGAGGTGCCTTCTTGGAAGTGACATTTCTGCACTATCTTTCCATCTTCCAGGGCTGTTCCGTATCTCCTTTTCCTTTGTTCCTAACACCGTGTATCCCAGAGGACTCATCACTGTGAACTCCTTGATGTGTCTCACTTGCATCATTTGTGGGTAGAGAATAAAGAGAGGTAAGTATTTCAAGAATGTGCTAGATATTGTGAAGGTTCTTCCTGAACCCTCTACCTCAGTACTTCTACATCTTAGAGAAACATTTTGTTTTTGGTTTTTTTTGCAGAGAAAATTAAGGGTATCAAAATGGGACTCCCTGAATCCCCCCAAATGTGCTAAATGCACCCAAATTGTTTCCCATCTGCTTCCTCTGCATCCTTCCTTCTGGGTTCAGAGAAGAATTGCACACTGTGAGCACACTCCTTCCTCCGCACACATTCCTCCTTGTCCGCTGTACGTCTAACCTCTTTCTCAGGACAGAAGTCCTAACTCTCCCTCTCCTTCTGGAGATTTTCTTGGTCAAGTTCTACACATCTTTCAACACTACTTCTCAGGGTCCGTTTTCCCAACACGGCTTTTGGAGCATCTCCCCTTATGCTGGAACGGTGTCTACACTGCAGACCCACTGCCCCTGTGCAGACCTGGGTCGTCGCTTCCGTGCTCCTATCTATGTGCGTATCTTTGCTCATCTGTCTCTATTCAGCCAATCGAGGCTTCCTTTCGACAAGAGCCACGTGCTTCCCTCTGCGCCCTTGATGCCTCGCACAGCATTGAGCACTGACTGGTTACTAAGTAGGTGTCTGGGGGATGTGGGGACAGGTTGGCCAGAGTTTCCCCCTTGATCACATCTAAGTTTCCGTACTGCGGTGTGACGAGGCACCCGGAACGGTGTGGGAGGACATGGAGGGCACAGGAGACTCTATCAAGGAAGGACACGATGCCGGGCTGTTTAGGATGAAGAGAGCTGCAGGTGGCCGGCAAGCCACGCTCAGGTTCGGTGTGCCGTCACTGGGGGTGCGAGCATTCATGCAGGCTCTGGGGGAGAGTCCCCCCAGAGCTGTGGGCCTGCGACGGTGGATTAGAGGCCTCCGAGGTCTCCTCCCTGGACAAGAGTGAGGTAACGTTACTAAGATGCTTCCAGCCCTCGTTCACTCTGCTCGCAAGCCTCTGGGAAGGCCGCGGTGCCTTTCTAACGAAGCCCCTTTGATGACTGCCCTCTGTCGGGTCAACCTCGCTCCTGTCACTTATGCATAAGCAAGTCCCGCCTGGTCCCCTTTGCTTGTGCCCACGTGTGCGGGCTGCTCTGACCCTGGGGGTGTGCCTCACCTATTAGGAAGCCTTGCCTGGAATCCATCCAGAGATTTCCAGGAGGCAGTGTTCAGATTGGAGCCGTGATTTTGGGGCTGTTTAGCTGGGAGGAGACAGGAATCTGTCCCCAAATGCAAGGGGATATTTTACAAAGTGGCAAGTTCCCCGGGCCTGGAAGTGTCCCAGTAGGGGACAGACAACCACCTTCCATAATTGTTTGAGACAAGCGTGTGTTCCGCCTGCTGGAAACCCTCCTAAAGCCGAGATTCTCAAGTCCGGTGGGTTCAGACGTGCCTGCTGCTCTGGGCTGGCCAGTCAGGTTGCTGTCTCCTGTACGAGCCCGCGAGTGTTCAAGCTCCTTCTCGGCTGCTCAGAGAACGCCCCGGCTGGGTCTCCGTCACCACCCATCCCCCACAGTCTGCCCACGTGGTGTCTGGGCCTCCTTAGACCCGGGGCTGTGCCCTCACCATCTCTGTAGGTCCAGTGCCTGCCTCAGGGCGAGGCACATCGTGGACCCTCAATAAATCCTGGGAGAGTGGGGGGGGGGAGGAAACGTGAGCCCCAGGGCCCAAGAACAACCCGGTTCGGCCGGCAGGCAGTAGCTGCTCCAAAGTATCCTTTGCCATCACTTCTTGGAGGGACAGGCTTTTGGGGACAATTATACAAAACCTTACTTCCTGCTGTATTACTCTCCTGCCATTCCTAATAAGCTATATTTTAATTTAAAATGGCAATTTGCGGTGAAATTCATTTACAACAACACAATCCATTGTGATCACAATGCCATAAATTTTATGTTTTAAGTAATTTTTAATGCTTGTAGCAGCTGGCGCTCTGAAGTGTGGAAATAGCTAACATTTTTCACCTTGTGCAGCCAAGGGAAAAGGAAAAAACCTCTGCTCTTTAATTATATAACCACCAAAGACAGCGTGCAGAGAGCAGAGCAGATGTAATTGCAAAATACGAAACGATTGGCCTGAGAACACAGCCAAGATTTTAAATGTAAACATGTAAATGCCCAGGATATAGCTGGTAAAGCCCGGAGCAAAACATGTATCCTCCGAATTCACAAGCTGCTGTAATGTTGTCAAATTGATTAAAAAGGAAGTGTTATTAGGGGGATGGGATGATGGAAGGGGCGGCCTCTCACCACAGGGCCGGGCGGGCGCGTTTCCGTCCCCACGTGAGGGAAGTGCTCACGCACCCTGTGCCAGCCTTGCATGGGCTTCGGGATGTATCTCATGCCGGACCTGAGTGCCGTGCTGGGAGCTCACCTGTGTCCCCCTGTCCCCAGGCCTCCTAGGGAATTCTGGGAAGATAAATTTGCATAACGTTGTGTGTTCCGCCTCCCACTGGCAGCCTCCCACTGGCAGCCTCCCCGCGGGCCACACGCTAAGGGGAGGGAATAGAAGCCTGAGAAAGCCCTGCCCACCGCAACTTCTCAGTCTGTCTGTTTCTGTCGCCCCCACTTTTCCCTTCCCCTCCTTTGGGCATCATTTTGGGAGACACGCAGTTTGCCTGGTTGGCCCACCGAGTACTGGGCTAGGTTCCCCAGGGAGGTTTCCCCGTGGCCACTGGGCTCCAGTACCTCTCCTGACTGAGGGGACGCGCCCTCCGTCCCACGGCGTATGTACTGGCCCCTGAGGTCCAGTGGCAACATGGCAGGAGCCACATGTGCAACTGAGCCAGAAGAAACGGGCGGAGTCATATTTATAAGACACCGTATTTCACCCCGTGCATCCAAAGTATCCTCAGCATGTACCTAAGGGACAAGTATTAGGGAGCGATTTTACTTACATTCGTAGGATTTCCTGCACGAGGTCTTCAGAGCAGGCCCCTCTGGGTTCAGACCAGGTGCGTGTCACAGGCCAAGGGGCCTGGGCTGCCGCCGCCACAGTGATGGCTCAGGTCTAGACCCGGAGCCGCACGTGCTTCAGACTAAAGCGACCCTGCGCTGGTTGAGTAAAGGGGACTTAAATCAGACTGCTTCCGGTGAGGCAGGCAGGCAGGCGCCCTCCCGGTTTGGGTGTGGAGCTCAGCCGCCCCGCGAGTGTGGGTGTGGGTGAGGGTGTCCCTGGGGGTGCCCAGGCCTAGCTGGATTCCATCTGGCAGGAGACTTCCCCTCACTTTGCACAAGACTGACCCCGTGAGGGGGAGGGGCTGGGGGGCAGGAGCAGGGGACTCTGGGTGGGTGGCAGGGGCCTGCGGACCCTCACCCCCCGTGGAGCCTGGCACCTCCCCAGGCTCTAGGACCCTCTGCTTGGCTCCACCCCCAGGCCCCAGGGCCTCACTCGCAGGCTGGCCTGGGCTCCCCCTCCCTGCCCCGGGGCCTAAAGCTGTCCAGGAAGCTAGGGGGAGGGGAGCATGCCCCAGGGGCCCTAAGAGGGGCTGGGGGGCAGGAGCAGGGGACTCTGTGGCTGAAGCGGCCGAGAGACAGCGCGGTCAGGAGGTGCCGTGCGGAATTAGGTGATTTAGGGTTGAGCTGGGCAGGTTTGAGGTTCAGCATCAAGGGGAGGAAAATGAACTTCTCTGGACCCACAGCTGAGGTTTTCTTCAAAACCAGCACCTCCCACGGACGAGCGGCTTACATCAGGCTGAGGGGCCCTGCCTCAGTTCTCCTCCAGCCTTGTGGGCCTGAGGGCAACGGGGGGCCGCCCCAGGCTCCATCTCGGGGGGCTGGACGCCCCCTCCCTGCTCTGCGGGCCTCTCTCCGGGCAGGGCGCACGCCCCAAGGCCCAGGCCCAGGGGACCACGACCGGGCGGCGGGGCGCGGGGAGCGGGGCGCGTGGAGGTGCGGGCGCTGCAGACCCTGAGCGGCCTCTGCCCCGCCCTCCGAGGCCGGGGACCACTCGGTGTGGGTGGCCTTTACGGCAGCAAGAACACCTCTGGGGTGAAAAGTGAGAGTCACCCTGAGGCGTGCACTGTAAGCTCTGTGTGTGTCCCCTGCGTCCTGATTGAGCCTTTTTGGTTCTAGGAAACTGATTTGGACCCTTACAGCCTGAGCCCCAGCCGGACGGACAGACGGACGCCTGAGTTCCCAGCAGCCCCCGGGCTGGATGCACCAAGGCCACCCGGGAGCCGGTCCTTCCCGGCCTGCACGGAGCCCCTGCTCGGACCTGTCAGGCAGCTGTCACCCCAAACCTCCGCCCCGCTGGGGGCCACGCTTCTCTTACCATTTGACTCACGTGGCCTGTGCTTCCTGAGCCACGGTCCCCGGCCAATGTGCGGGCAGGCCACAGGTTCGGCACAGTCTGCGCGTGGCACGGGGAGCCGGGTGCCCACACTCGCTAGAGGCGGAACCCCCGTGGGCGCCGCGGAGGGAAGGTCTGGGAGCTGAGCGCCAGGGCTCGGGCGCAGTTTGCCCGCTTCCTGGCCTGGTCCGGGCCGTCAGTCCCGCCTGGCACGCGGACTACCTACCTACCCAAGGGTAAAGCCCGTCTCAGCTGTGACACACCTCTGCGCGTGGTAATGGCAATAGCTGGTCGTGACGGCTGCTATAGAGGGACCGGTACTTTATTGGAGATGAAAGAAAAAAAGACTTTTTAAAGGATTCTTTTTTTTTTTTTTTTTAAATAAAAGAACACTGTGTAGATACTGCACCTTTGAGGGAGGACCAGGAGACCCCTCCGTGTTATACTGGCCGCTCAATTCTTCCATTTGTCATTGATATATGTGGCATGAAAGTACAGAACGCATGCATAACATAAAGGCTGCGTAAATATACATTAAGGAGAAGCCGGTCCCCTTATCTGCATTTGCAGGTCGGCCAGATCCATCAATACAGGTGCAGCCCAGCTCCGGGGTCCCGGTCCCGGGGGCCGCGGGCAGATGGCACCCGAGCCTTGTGCAGTCAAATGCAGCCGGCTTCCATTTAGAAATTCCTATTGTGGGGCAGGGGCAAAGTATCTATAATAATTTTAAGGACATTTCCCAAATGTTTATTTAGATAAAAGATGGGTAACAGTAAAACTCGGGAGGCTGCAGCCTGATAACGGGTTTTATTAATGGCCTGCCATATGCCGGCGCTGGATAATTAAAGTTTTTCCCCCCAAAGGAAGAGAGTGGACAAATTTATTTGATGGTTTGATAACCAGGGACACTGGTTGAAAACTATTGATATAATCGGAGCTCATTCGATTTGCTCAAGACAGCCACTCCTATCAGCTAATTTCACCTGTGCATAGTTAATTACCCTCCGAATGCATATGGGCCAGCCATTAATAAAATTTGACTATGTCATAGTCTCTGTCGCCCACGTGTGCCTCCTATCTCCTGCATCTCCTTCGTCTTTCGCCCCCTTTTTTTCTTTTTCAAAATTCTTTTCCATTCTCTCTTTAAAAAAAAAAACCAGAGCGAGGGAAGACGGATTTGGTGTGCAGGCGGCGGCGGTACAGGGGCGCGTGAGGAGGGCGCTGGTGCGGCCCGCAGCTGGACCCCGGCTGACGCCCGGCTCTCCTGCCCCCGCAGCGGACTTCGGAGTCTGCAGGCTGCCGGCCGGGGGCTGGGGGCGCGGGGGGACCCCGGGAAGCCCTGAGCCCGTCACCCACCCCAGCACCTGAACCTGTAGAGGCCTAGTCGTATCTTCATCTGGTCATGGCCCTGAGCAAGTCAGTTAATTTCTCTGATTTCCCATTTTCTCGGATGGAAAATGGGGTTGATAATATCTGCTTCCAGTGAACATGCCAGCTGTAAAAGCAACAGATGTAAAAGGCATGTTGGAAGACACCCCGAGAGAAGGGAGGTGCCTGAGGCCAGGGAGGGCAGAGGAGGGGGGGAGGGGGAGGAGGGGGAAGGCTTGGGAGGAGGGGGAGGCAAACGGGAGGGGGAGGGGAGGAGGGGAGGCTGGAAGGGAAGAGGGGGCCATCAGCACCCCCCGGAACCGTCTGGACTCTGCCCCCGTGGCCCCAGCCAGATGGAGGCTCCCCCGTGAGCTGACCTGGTCACGTCCGGCCTGAGGTCCCCTGCCCTGTGCCCCAGCCTGGGCTGCCAGCTCATGGGGTGACGGTGCTGGCTTCCCGGGGCCTCTGCTCAGCATCGCTGCTGGTCGCCCTTCCCTCCGGGCGCGGCACCACCGACTCGCTCGTTCCCGCCCAGACCCCGCCCCACCGATGGAGGGTCCCCTCTGTGTCCTGCCCTCCGGGCAGAGTCCCCTGCCCACTGGCCTCGGCCTCTGCTCTTGCCTGGGAGCCTCCTGCAGGTCCCACAGCAGCGGGAGGGATGCTGGCCAGTCCCCCCCAGAGCTGAGCTCTGCGGGGCCCTCACAGCACCTAAAACCAAATCCATGCTCCTCGTCCTGGCCCAAGGGGTCTCCCAGGCCCCGCTGACCCTCAGTCCCTGCCACCCCCTTCCCCACCTCTCCCTGCTTTGTCCGTGGCCCTCTGGGCAGCCCCGGGGCCTTTGCTTGGCCATTGCCTGGTGTGCTCACTTGCTCAGACCAGTGCATCCCGCCTTCCTCCCGCTCGGTCTCCCCGACTCTGTGTGGAGGCCAGAGCACCCTCACCGCCCCCCACCATTTCCTTCCCAAGTCTCATGACTTCTTTGCTCATGTCTACACCCCAGGGGCGAGCAGGAGCCCCCTGCCGCGGGGTTCCCAGAGCTAGCACGCGAGCTGCACACGCTGGGAATGAACGCCTTCTCCTGGGCCCGCCTTACTGCACGGCCACGGGCGGAATTTGCCCCCGCCGTTCAAGCCGGCCTGGGTTATCTCCAGGGCCCTTCCACACCACAGCCCTGCGCCTGCTCCCCCAGACCTGCATGGGGGATCCCACAGATGTGCCCTCACGGGGGTTCCCCGGAGCCTGGGGGTCCCCTACACAGGGCGGCGGTGGAGAGGGCACAGGTGGGGGATGCCTTGGCCGGCTTTGCGTTTCCTGACCCGGGTGAAGTCCCTGCCACACGGAGTGAGCCTCCCTGAACCTCATGGTCCATCATGTTTCCAGTTTGAGCTTAGAGGCCCCACCACCATCTGGGGCCCTGGTGCTAGAGATGAGGGGCGGGAGCCTGGGGTGGGGGCCCTGGGGCAGGGACCCTGGGGCGGGGGACCCTGGGACGGGGGTTGGCTGGGTGGAAGGCTGATAGGTCCCCTCGTGCTGCTGCAGGCTTAGATCGAATCCACTGGTGGGGGTGGGGGTGGGGGCACGAGCCTCTGGAGTCGGCAGATGGCGGAACCCCAAGTCCTGGGGGAGCCGAGCTTGCCTGCAGAAGGCCCTCCAGCTCCTCACGTGAAGGACCATAGTCCACAGTGGAAACCCCCAGTCTGTAAACCAGGAGCCGGAGAGTGGGCGTGGGGCCTGAGGGTTCTGGTGGGACCTGGGGAAGCGGCCGGGCCCGGATGTCAACGTTCTCTGCAGTGATAGCCCGGGTCACGAAGGCTGTGCGGCCACGCCTGGTGTTGCTGGGGGGGACCATGCTGGCTGGGCATCGGGAGAAAGGCGGCGGGTGCCCATAGCCAGGCTGGGGAAGAGAGTGGGTGAAACCCAGGAGAGGGAGAGGCTGAGATCTGGAGCCCAGGAAGGCTCGTTACTGTGACATTGGCCGTGGGTGCCGGAACAAGGTGCAGGCCGGAGTCCTCCAGCCGTCTAGACCCCAGCGGGGTATTAGCATCCTGTGCCAGCCTCGGGAGTGGCTGGTCTGGTGGACAGTGGAAGTGTCACATGCCACACACAGGTGGCCAAGGGACCGCTACCGGAAAGCGCACAGGGCATGTAGAGATGAGAGGATGCCCCTCCAACTGACTATGTGAGGTCTTTGTGGTCGGCTCCTCAAGCCCGAGAGTCTTGTTCTGTGTGTGGCGAGAATGACAGCTCAGCCTCCTGGAGTCTCTGCGCTCGTGCCGACACGTGGCCTGTGTGTGCAAGCACGCACACCACTCACACACACGCCCGGGGCTGTTCGGGGGAGGAGGTGCCAGGAGATGGCCGGGCGGGCCGATGTGGGCCACCTGCTGTGTGTCAGATGAGATCCCAGGCAGGGGTGCTCGGAGGGGAGCAGAGCAGGGCGCCCCTGCTCAGGGGAAGGACAACGCACAACAGGGCAGGGTGCCTGATGGCCATGGCCCTGAACAGACCACGGAGCCCAGTGGTCCCAAACAAAGATCTGGATGTCAGCGGGTGGCAGATAGGGGTCCCCACTCTCACATCCCCCCAGCAGTGCTTTGGCAGCCAGCTGTGGCCACATGTGCCTTTGAAGACACTTCAGGGTCAGGGTCGAGCCTGAGACCCCAGACCGAGGAAAGCTGCTTTGAGAAGCAGTGTCTACCCTTGGACATAAGTCCGAACTGCTAACCTGGGAGCAGCCCCACCTCCTCTGGAGATCAGCTGCATTTGACCGTGGCCCTGACACCACCGCTGGGGGCAGCTGTACCCGCCCTGAGTCCTGAGCCTGGCGCCTGCTCCTCGTAGTGACAGCCCAGGAGAAGTCCTCTCCTCCAGGGGCCTGCTGGGAAGGGCTCCCATCCACGGCCCTGGAGGCAGCTCAGCTGCCGGTTCTGAAGTGGCCCCTTCTCAGTCATGAATAAGGGCAATCCTCAGACCTGCCCAGGGACGTGACAGGAGCCCTTCCGGGGACCGGGTAGGGGCCACTTCACCCGTAAGCATGGCAACAGGCCTGTTGGTGGTGGACCAAACTTGAGGTTGAAGTGGACACGTGTCCCAGCAACGGCCCTGCTGACCACGAGCCTGCAGGCAGTTCTGTTCACTCTGGGACCGGACAGGACCCCTTCCCTCCCAATCTCTGGTGACAAACACGGAAGAGGAATTATGACAACAGAAAGCAAAGAAATACAAAGGGTCATAAGAGACAACTATGAGCAATTATATGCCAAAAAATCAAACAACCTAAAAGAAATGTATAAATTCCTAGAAACACACAACCTACCAAGACTGGGTCAGAAGGGACTAGAAAATCTGAACAATTAGAAGGCAAGGAGATTGGAACAATAACCAAACACCTTTCAGCCGGGAAAACCCAGGGCTGGATGGCTTCATGGGTGAATTCCACCAAACATTTAAAGAATTAATACCAATCATTTTCAAGCTCTTCCAAATAATTGAAGAGGAGAGAACACTTCCAAACTTACTTTATGAGACCGGCATTATGGTCACTCCTAGCCTGACAAGGATACTACAAGAAAAGAGAATTATAGGGCAATATCTCTGTAATAGATGCAAAAATCCTCAAGTGAATACTCACAAATCAAGTCTAATAGGACATGCAAGGGATCATACACCATAATCGAGTGGGATTCGTCCCTGGGATGCGAAGATGGGTTCAACATGCAGAAATCAGTCAATGCAAGCCACGACATTGGCAGAATGAAATGTTTATAAAAAGCACTTGATAAAATTAAACATCCTTTCATGTAAAAACTCCACAAATTAGGTATAGAAAGAATGTACCTCAATATAATAAACACCTCAGATGACAGCCCACAACTTGCATCATCCTCAGTGATGACACGTTGGAAGCTTTTGCTCTAGCATCACCAACAAGGCAAGGCAAGGATGCCCGCTCTCACC